ATCATCTTTTGCCTATGTTTTGAATCCCCTAATTCCTGCATCACAAGTCTTCTTCCTTGTTTACTCCATTACTTTGTAGCACTAAATATATCTTGAGCAAAAGTTATAGAAAGCAGCATTTTTGAGTCCTTACATGTTTTCAAGTTTGTCTTACTTTGATATTATTGTTTAGCTGTACCTATTAGGAAAAAATAAGACTTTTGAAGGAATTGTTCTACTGTTTTCTAACTTCCAGTTCTGATTCTGGATCCATTGAATGGGACCTATTATTTTCTTCTGTTTTTAGGACTTGTCTTTATCACCCAGTACACTGAAATTTTGTAACTCCTGTGTTTTAGTCCTTTTTCTTTTTCATTTTGCTGGGCAGAGTAGGCCTTTCAATCTAGAAACTCATCTTTCAGTACTGAGAAATTTATTACACAATTTCTAGAATAATTTTCTATCTTCTTTCCTTTTCTCTCTTCTAGAATTCCTACTAGTTGGGTACTGTATCTTCTAGAATAATCCTCCAACTTTCTTTTCTCTCATTTTTTCATCTTTTACTTTTTGTTCTAGTATTTGTAAAATGTCTTTATCTTCCAAAACTTCTATTTGAAGTTTACTTCAAAGAACTTTGTTTCCTGAAATTTTAAATTTTATTTTCTATGTACAATCAATGAGACATTTCTCTTAGACCTGTGATGTCATTCATCTTGTGACAAAATGTGCTTGTTCAGAAAAAATTTTACCACCACAAATAATTTTTGTTATATAGGGTTTTTTAAAATTTTATTTTCTATGTACAATCAGTGAGACATTTCTCTTAGACCTATGATGTCATTCATCTTGTGACAAAATGTGCTTCTTCAGAAAAAAATTTTACCACAAATAATTTTTGTTATATAGGGTTTAATCAGACCAAAACAAAAATGTGCCTTTCAGTTCCCATGTTAAATTTAGTGCAAAATGATTTCTTTGAAACTTGTCAAATATCACAAAATATATGGGCCAAAAAAAAAAAAAAAAAAAAAAAAAAAAAAAAAA